GTAAAGTTACAAAAAAACGGTACAAAACTTATAATCGACATGCACAAACGGTAAAGTTACAAAAAAAACGGTACAAAACTTGTAATCGACATGCACAAACGGTAAAGTTACAAAAAAAACGGTACAAAACTTATAATCGACATGCACAAACGGTAAAGTTACAAAAAAAACGGTACAAAACTTATAATCGACATGCACAAAATTCACTATTGTAATTGCTCGAGGAAGCTTAATGAAAACATTTGAAACGTCTAATAATGGTTGGAGACGGCTTGAATGGGTAATGAAGAAAAAACTTAACATAACAGCAAATGTACAACGTTTCGACAAGGTCTTTGTCATTACCAGGCTAGAGGGAACAGAATAAGGTTTCTGAAACTTCATTTTTATTACCACTGTATATTTTCTATAGCAGTTTTAAATTATATGCCAAGTGAATTGTTGTTGACATTATCTTTATTGAGAAAAGATTAATCGCTGAATAACTCTCATTGTTACTTGACTTGTGGGTTAGCAAGCTTTTTGTAGCCTATCTCTGCTGAAATTTGATGAAATAATTTATTTGATAAAGCACAGAACAAAGCCACATGATATCTATATACTACTAAAACTCTGAGATTTTTTGTTTGTTTGTCTGTAATTACAGCAAAAACGGTACAGAATATGAGAATAAAAATATAAATAGAATATGAGAAATGAGAATAGAAACAGAATAAAACAAGTTTACTTAAAATCGGGCCACGGGTTACTGAGTTAGCGCCGTTTTTCGGGTCACCTTTATGAAAATTTCTAGCATGAGTAATTTTACATCACACTACCGTTCGCGCTCTTTACGAAACTTCTTCGTTCAAATCTATTTCCCTCTCAATGTTCCCATCTTCATTAAAAGGCGTAAGATGACAAAAACAAGATCTTGAAGAATTTCTCAATAATGTGCCTTGGTTATGGTAGGTAAGGAAATGAGAAAATTTTCTCAGTCAAAAAATCATTTGCTGTGAGACAGTGAGAAAAATTTTTCATTTGGTGAATTTCGTAGTGTATCAGTTATCAAGTTTTGCTGCTTCTTGCAGTAATTCGAGTAAGTGATTATGAAATGTTTTTCATTTTTGATTTTTTGATAGCAATTACGTTCTAACAAACCATGAATAACATTACTGTTATCTGCTATTTCTTATTTTCAGGCGTTTTGAATCAACTGTGAATAAGGTTTGTTCATCACAATACCTGAAAACTCTGACTTCACTTTTTTGAAAAAATGAAATGGTCTTTACTTTTACTCCTGATCAACAATCAAATATATTTTCTTGAATTACAAATATCATGAATGGATTGAAATATTTAATTATCTCAAAATAAACCTCCATTTTGGTGCAAGATTGAAATTAGCTTGAATTCTTTATAACCTCTGAATAGTGGGTGACCCAACAGGTCACGGGTTGTCTAGTATACATCATTACTCTTCTGACAATTGTTGATAATGTTACAAGAACATTTGTATTAACACAGCATTAGCTAATACCCAATGAAATACTGAAAAATCTCCGTTATTTTCTTGAATATCAGTTTAAGTAAAAAAAACAATATTATGAGACATTAGTCTGCTGAATACAATAAAGAAATTGCTTATAAGCATTCTGTACATCAGAAACACATTAATATATACATTAATAAAACTGTCAGATTCAATACTGCAACTTCAACTTTTTTTTTCAACCAATTTCATAGTTTAATGATCAAATCAAAATATGCTTTTCAGAAATCAGAAAGGCTAGTGCTACAGTATTTTCTACTGATATTCAATTTTGTTTTTAAATGTCCAATGTACTGAAATATTTACTTGACTTAGTGTTTCTTTTGATCATATAATGTTGGAAGCCAATTATATGGTATGAGGAAAAGTGGTCTAACTTAATACAAATGATGCCTGAAAAATTATTACCCAAACACATTTAATTTAGTCATATGCATAATTCTATGACAAAAACAAAAATACATACAAACTACATACCAACAAATACTTTCATAATATTTTTCACATTTAAACTAGAAACTAATCATCCTAAGTTGCTTGTTATACTCAAGAAATTTGGTTCTTGCAGTGCCAGATATTACACTGCCAAAAACGTAAAAGTGTTTCTTGATTGAAATACATTAACTAAGAGAAGTGTATTTTATGCTGTGTAAAAATTTACATTTACTAAAATGGATGCACTGTACAAAAACAGGTAAACTCCGATTTACGTATATGCAACAACATGTGACTGGTCATTCTCATACATCAAACAAAGGTTATAACCTCTAGATATCATCTACTCTGCCACTTAAGAACATTGCTATTGATAACCTATTCTACACAATGTGCAAAGTTGTAGCAACATCCATGTAGGCAAAGTAGATACTATCTGTTAGAGAATAGATACAAAAGCAAATAGGATAAACAATTTCAAAGGTTTTCCAATACATGTATTTATGCTAAACTGCATAAAAACAGGCTAAATGAAATTTTTTAAAATGTCCTATATTGATGAAAGCACATAGAATACATGACATGCCTGCATATCACTTGCATACAAACTAGAACTTACTACACAATCATTTGTAGTTAAAACATTATGGATCAGAATGTACATAATCTAATCTGACAGATGCAAACAAACTTTCTATCCCAATATTCACAGATAAGCCATTCAGTAGTCCATAATGCACCTTCACATTTAACAGATGCAAGGTGAACACCATCATTTAAAGATAAACCATTGACTTGTAAGAATAAAATTCAAATCTGGCAGATGTAAAATAAGTCCTTTATTATTTGGAAATAAGTTATTCAAGAATAAAATATACATACTTAGAGTATAAGGAATCAAAGGAATATCATTTTTCATCATTTGCAGGTAAATTATAAGAGACTATAACACATTCAGATTTCACAAAGCTTATATAAAAATGAAAGATTAGTGTATTTGGAAAATATACCACTTACAATAAGAAAACTTGACAAGTCAGTACTTTCAAATGGTTTATTAATGAGCAGTGTTTAGTTTGTTTAAGAAAATTTTTTCTTTAACTGCACATTAAATATTGGTATTATACATAATTTTAAGGTACTTTATAGTAATATTAGCAGCATTCCATCCAAACTAAACGATAGTATGCTATGAGCAGTAGTCAAAGAGATAAACCAACCTTTTCATAAAGCAGCGATAATCCAGGTCCTAGTTTCTCCTGTTCACCTCTCAAAGTAATAGTTTCAGAAGGGCTGTCTGAGGAAGGCACTTCAACAGAGACTCCTGTCTGAGCTAAGATTTCCTGAATGTTCTGACCCCGTGTTCCAATGATATACTTGTGTTGAGCTTTCTTCACTTCAACAGATACAGTTTGACATTTCTGATGCTAAAGGGAAATAAATTTTCGGTTCACAATAACATTACAAGTCTTTCACATTTACAAAAAACTATTTACATTTCATCTCCCACTTCAGTAGCACAAACATTATGTTCAAAGAAAGTTTGAAACCCAAATGACCAATACTTTGTTTACTCATACCTATATAACAGTAATATATGGTGAACCATTCCAGAAACTCAAAAGCTATAATTAACATTCTCAACTAGGTTATCTCTTCACACGTAATAGTGTTTAACTATTAATGAGCAATATCACCATATGATAATGTTAGATATGCACTACATGGGATAACTAATTGTAATTCAAGTATTCACAACAGGAAAAGTAAATTATTAACTATCTGAAGAAACATTGTTCAACAAATTATTTCATACTTTTTACAAAATTATAAAAACTCTTAGTTCAAACAGTAAATAACACCAACATTTTGCACTAAACAAAATCTGTGATCCCTGACAAAGACCTAATTAATATTTGACAAGTTTTAAGAACTTCTTTGGCAATGAAACAAATATTGGCAAGAGCTTTTCTGGGTTAGTTGGCTAGTCACAAGGTGTTCACTGGTCAGGTACTGAGGTACTTGAAGAGGGTTCCTGTTCATGGAGAGCCAATATAGTAAAGAATAGGCAATGACAGACAGGCCTCCCAGGTGTGGATAAACTATTTGTACTTAAGTTTTGATTCCTGTTTAATATTTGTTTTTCTGAATAGCTTTATCTTCCTGACATTCCAGATGACCTGTGCTTTTTCTATTTCTAATTGATGACCTCTTAAAATTATACAAGATCATGATCTTAATATGTATAGCTATGCAAGAGCTGTAATTCTTTTTTTCTATCTAATTTTTCTATTATACAATCCTCACACAATTAACCAAATCAAACAGGACTATGAACTATTATGAATAAATCACAATTTTTGTACACAAAACATGGTTTAAGTGACTTCATCCTAATTTGATGACAAGTATCCCACTTTTTTGAAAATAAAAGTTTGGAGACAGCTTAACTGAGTAATGAAGAAAACTATTATAAATACATGACTTATCAACAAGATTATGCCATCCTGAAGGTAGCATAATCTTATCAAAATCTTCCTAAGTTATTCTTTATGACTAAATATAAAAACACTAAACCTTTTCCTGGAAAATTTTCTTGATGATATCTTCTACTGCAGCCACTGCTTCTTTTTCACCAGCTATTGTCAATTCATCCTTCATGACACTAGGAGGTGGAACATTGATTCGAGTTCCTGTCTTGCTCATCAACTGAGTAATATTCTGATTGTATGGCCCACAAATAAATGGATGATAAATTTTGGGGATGTTTAACCTTTGAAAGGCAAGCTTGGCCTGATGAAGGACAAAAATTAAAGGAGTGAAATATAATTTTTGTTAACCAAGGACAACATTTCATTATTAATTCAAACTTTCCAAAAACAACTAAAAAAAATTAACTTGTACTAGATTACATGAATTTATGGTTGTTTCAACAGTACCATGTATTAAAATCGATTATTTTCTGTATGATATCTAGCAAAAACACACAGTAAAACCAAATTTGATGTTTCAAGCCTTGAATTCAGTGATCAGCAACAACTAATCACCTATAATTGTGATTTTGTCTTCTTATTCTTAATTAGAAGTTACTGTTAGTCAAATCAATTGTATAATCTATAATATAACATTTATTTATAGAGGAAAACTTGTTCAAAGCTTTTATACTTCACAAAACTACTGATCTAACTACAGTTTACCTTTAGCTCTTACTAGGCAATTTACTGCTTTTTAATGCTAGTAACCTTTCAAAGAGCAAATAGAACAATAAATTTAAATGAAATCAAATGTGATACTGCTTGGAGCCCTCAGGATAAGTAATTGTAATTATGTTACAATGTGCAGTCATTCTGGAAAAAAAAGTATTTCATTTTATTTTATATTTTAACTTTCACTACAATGATTTTGCTAATTATAGTATTAGGGTAGAGATATTAAGAGAAATTATAAAATTCTACTGAAAAAGAGGTTCTGCAATAAAATATAAAAACTAAAGTGAAAGGAACTTTTTTCATTCTTAAAATGAAAATTAAATTCCATAGTGATTCAGTGTTGTCAACTAATACTTTTTTTTTAAATATGTATCACTGTACACCAACTGTTCTTATATCGAAGTAGTAACCAATGTAGACAAGTATGTAAGCTAGTCACACAAGCAGTATCTACTCACATTAGCACACTTTCTTCCAAGTCCAAATATAAATGTTAGTATTCCCACCAATGAAGTAACCTTAAAATTCTATACAATTATATACATTTACAAACTAAAATATTTAGTCTTGTTGATGATGAGGTTACTTTACTGCATTTCACTGTACTCTAGACAGGAGATATATGGTTCAATTTGAAAATTAAAAGTTACTAACATACAAATAATGTGGTAGTCAAAGCCTAGGGTATTATGGATTTAAGTATTCATGGTTAATCCTTTCAGTAATTTTTTTTCATGACTAGTTTCTTATCTGCTTTTAAGAGATAACCTGGGAGAGGTAATATCTCCAATGATTTTTAGTGCTGTCACAAGTTATTTTTCTTGAGTTATATGTTTTGATGCATTCTCAAACATGTATAATTTATCTGTGTTGTACTATGCAATTCCAAGTTCATACATATAACAGGTCTAATACAAGTTTCAAATACTATTTGAAATCTACAAATTATTCATAAACTAATACTTGAAATTACCATGATACTTCGTGGGATACAATATAGTTTTGATTTAACATGTTAAGTTGTAAATATAGAATAAAATTATTTTTCACATCTGTAGTACTTAATACCTTTCTAAGTAAAACAGAACAAATTTAGTTTTAGCAGCATTTGTTTTTACGTGCTTTTATTTGACAGAACAAGGAGGGGAAGGGTAAAATGTAACAGCATTGCTTAGACTGAAAATATTTATTTCCCATTGAATAATATTAAAAAAACAAAAACAATAAAATATATACCCCCTTTCACACTACTAAATCTGAAATTAAGTTCCAATTAGATCCATTGTCATAGCTAGTGCTAGTTTTCTAATAAATGTAAACCACTTGTTTTGGATAATTCATACTCAAATGTGAAAACATATCTGTTGTATCATTATTATTATGTTTACATTTATCCATAGAATGGCTCGTCTAACACAGTTTCTTTCATTTCTCTCATTAACACTAAAATTGCTACTTGAAAGTGAAAATGACATACTGGAGCATGACAGTTAGATTTAACATATATTCAGATAAAAATTAAGAAGGTAAATAAAAATAATTATTTCAAGACATAAATATAGTTATTTACCAAACTGTAATTCTGTTCATTAAGCAATCTTATTAATTTGGCTTCTGGATGACGAGTTATTTATTGTTCCAACCTTATCTAATAGTAATATTGATATAAAACTAGGCCTACCAAAAGAAAATTTAATAATAAGTCAAAATTCTAAAAATATTTGAGCAGTATTAATTCAAGATCATTAGTTGGAGCTTTATATAAGTTTAGGCATAGAAGGTCTTTGAGTTTTTAAATTTCAAAAACAGAAATGTCTAATCAAAAGGTAAATTTTATAAAAGCATTCAGATTAAACTGAATTGTGAACAGCTTTAGTGTGTTAAAATTTTCAGGAATAAAAATATGAAGATCAAAGCAACTTTGCTAGCTTATTTCACACAATTCACTGCATGATTCACAGATTTAAATAAAGGAGTGAACCAAGTATCAATTTCGAATCCAGCTTCAGTCAAATACTAGACCAATTTCTCTTTAAACAGCTTCCACAGAATACTAAATACTGTGTGAGCTTGAAGCCAAAGAGGTGGCCAAGATGCATCATACAAATGATACTATTATGAAAAAAGTGGGAGTTTATCATGGAGTTACTTCTTTATTTGAACATCACAGTTATGCATGAAGTACTCTTTATTATAACAAACATAGAATTGAATACAATGCCTTCTCATGAACTTTTATGAAACATGTAAATTACTTAAGTCTGGCAGAAAATCTGGCAGGAGGGAATATCATGAATGTTGTTTTAGAATACTTTGAAAATATTCTTTCATTTTTTTCAAATTAAAGTTATTTAATATTCTAATCTCATTTCTCACAGTAACTACCCTAAGACATTGCATGACAAAAAACATAGAATAATGGTAATTCACAAGCTGTGTATCATGCTCTTAAAGAAGTGAGTGAGCTAGATTTGGAGCCACATCTCATTGTAGATGATGAATTTCTATGACTAATGCATGAACATGAGTCAAGATACATTACGGTTTTTAATACTTTACTGTGCGAGTTATCTGACGTAACATAGATGTGATCCAAGAACAAGTACCTTTTAAAGGATAAAAGTAAAATATCCTTCAAAATCAATATGTAAACTTCTAATAATACCACTTAAACCTTCTTGAATCATTCAGTTCACACCAGTTTTGATGATTTTCTAAAAAAATTTATACAGTTCTGCAATGTGAATCATTTCTTACAAGTACAGTGGGGAATGAATTGCCATAACATTTCAGGAAATATGATGAATAAATGGACAACTATCAAGAAAATGTCACATTGTGGCCAAGGATAATAGTTCAAATATCAAGAAGATTCAGTGCTTTTCATGCAAATGTTACACATGCTGGTTGTATTTTATATACCTTGAAATTGCACATTCTTAATCGTATCAAGGACAAATGAGTTCATTCAACTATGACTTCAGTTTCAAGGAAGCTGGTAAGTCACTTAAAATTCCAGCTCTGCCATGTACAGGTTACATGAAATGCAACTTTCAGCCAATGCAAGATCTTTCAACCACATAGAATTTAACACTACTTGCTAAAAAGGCTACAAGAAATGAAGCACTCCATTACCACATGCTACAGGTCTTTAACTATGAATCAGTGGACAGTTATAAAAATGTAATTAATATTTTGGCACCCTTTAACCAACTTACACAAGAGCTCAAAGGTGCTATAGTCTCTTTGCATGAAACCTGCTTGTATGGTTCTTGGGTCTTATTTGAAATGAAGTTCATGAAGCAAACAAAACTTGCGTCCTTGAATAAGAAAATTTTATTCAAAATTCAGATCAGTTGGAAAAAAGAATAAATCTACAAAATGAAAATGCTACAAACATCTAGCAGAAGGTCAACAGCTAATGATATGGAGACACGGACTTTGAAGGACTGCAGTCCAGCCCAAAGCCCACAAACAAGAAGGTGCCTGTGACTTGTGGAAAATGGGACAAATTAATTTAGAAGATAAATGGAACGCAAGTTTACATTTAGACATTAATAATACAATGAAGTGGAATTGTTTCTTTTTGAAACATTGTTAAACAGAAAAGAAAAACCACTTATATGATAGACATAACCAAAAGTTTATCTTAGTGCTCCACCATCCAGTGCATTTAGTTCAAAAACATACGCAGTACTGCTGGTAATATATAAAGCCAAGATTATTACAGTATGCTGATTGTTTAATTTTAAATATCAACTTTTTGCATTGTAAACTTCCATCTTTCCCGATATAATTTAGTCCCTCAGTTGCTGAAAACTGTATTAGGAATACTGTATGCCATTATGCATCCTACCAGTGATGTAGTGATCATTACTACACATGTGATAGTATGTAAGCTGTTTATATAAACAAGGAGTAAATCTAATTCAGAATTGACAAGCTCATTTTTTTTCTAAATATTTGACTCCTGCAAAATAGTTAACAGGTACTCAGTATTTGTTAGTTGAAACTGAAAATGTTATTTGGTGTAATCCTAGAAAATTAAATTGTGTACGTATTTACACGAGTATAAAATATTAAAAAAAAAATCCAAGTTTCATTACCAAAACGTAAACCTTTAGAAACATTAAAAATAAAATTTTAATGGCCAATTCCCCAAATATACAAGCAGGATTTCTGACTAGGATGTCACAGTGAAATCTAGAAAGTTTCAATGAAGTAAAAAAGTGCTGGAAAAGAACAAAAACTTCAAAATTATCTTTAAAAAAAAACAACCAACAAACGAAAATGTTTGATAGCTATCGAGCTAGAGGTATCCATTCCAATAAGAAACAGTTCATACCACAATATCACATAAATATACATTCACAATTCAACCCTATAGATTTTCATTTCAAAAAACACTTGAGCTACCAGAATTATTATTTGGAAAATATCTAATCCTTTATGCTCTGCCTGGCTTTTCATGATTAAGGAATACAAGTGTACCACTAGACTACATAAAAAGTGCTGCATTTAATACACTTATAAATAATTGTTTACAATAACAAATGTATCACCACACAGCAAACTTAACCCACAATACCAGTTAGGAAATACACAAGGCACTGAGAAATTCTACTCACTTGTTCATCAGAAATAACCTGGATTTCATGTGCAGCCTTTTCAATTCCTTCTTTTGTTCCACTAATTCTAATCATATCTGAGTGATCTTCAGGCCTCGGGACAGAAATCTTTGTAGATGTGCTCAATTCAAGATCAGCCAATTTTTTGGCACTTTTCCCCAAAATAAATCGGTGATGTTCTTTTGGGATAGATATACAAACAGCAGCCTATCCAAAACAATAATTTTCCTTCTTTAATAGTTCTTTAAAAAACACCCATGATAAAAAAAAAGCCTTTATAATAAAATATATTCAATAATACACTTATCGGTGGAGGTAGTTTCACCAAAATAAGTCTGCTTGAAATAAACAAATTTATTACTAATGTCATACTTACTTAACCCTTTTCAGCCACGTATATCTGGTTTTTAGAGAGACAAAACATCAAGTTTAGGAAATTTCTGGGTGATATTTACATTCAAATTAACTCCAAAATGAAATTAGAACTGAAATATTTGTATTTCAATTTTTTTCTAATACAAATTTTATTAACATTTGTTTTGAAGTCATTAAAAAAATTTAAACTGCTAGCCCAAATAAAGTACCTTTCTTCATTGGACTTATTATTCAGATGGTAGAAATCATTAAATTTTGAGCTAAGACATATACAATTCATCAGTGTATTGAACAAAGCTGGAAACTGTAAAGTTTGTTGCTTATTTTCTGCTCAAATTGTTTAAAATAATGCATTGTTGAAGGTGGTGATATCAAGAAATGTAAAACTGAACTTTCCACATTTCTTCTTTATAATTTAAGTTTGTGTGAAAATTGTGCATAAGGAAGGAAGAGAGCTATACAGCAAATAGATTGCAGATTGTAAAATATTACGATTATGCTTCAAGATTATGCAGGTTATCTATCATGTAAGTTAATGGGTTATTTTTTTTGCCAGAGAAATGTAACAATTTAACTTAATGAGTTCCTCTTAATGTTTATCTTATTGAAATAATTGCTTTTTCACTTAGTTTTCTGTATAAAAGAACTCCCACTGTTGTAACTTGAGACAGGCCATGATAGATGTAGTGCTAGATACTTAAAATATGCAGGGCTTCAGTATATGTAAATCAACAGTAAATATGGCCATGCATAATGACATAGTACAATTAACTTTATGTAGCAATTTTCATTGCATTATAAATAAATTGACAAAAAAAACTGTTTTAAAATGTCTCATGATTATCATGCTGCGTGTTTCAGATATGGTATATTTAATGAACTATTAGTTATTATTAATGTAATGTTATGTGTTGGCCAATATAATGCTATTGGAGTTAAATGGTTGAATTAATAATATACAAGGATAAAGAATATAATGAGTATTAAAGTTAAGTTAATAAACTTTACAGAAAAAATTTTACTTGCAGACATAATTGATAGTAATACCACAATGTAATTTATTCTAAAATCTTACAGTATTATTATTTCCAATTCTTTATTTGGGGAGGGGGGGGGGTCCCCTCTTCATTTCATAAAAATGTGTAGCATAATATTTAATATATTTGCTCAAAAACAAACCTGGGTCTGTAGTTCGTTTACCACCATTCGACGAGCTTTTAACACAGCATCTTCCTTTCCTGTAACTAAAATTGTAAGGCTTAGATCCTTTGATGAGCTGACTTCAATATGAGCACCAGTCTTCTGCATGATTTCTGCACAGATTTTAGCTTGTTCTCCTTGTTCACCAAACCGATGAGTACTGATCTCTCGGTATCTTCGTTCTTCTAAAGGTACTCGAAATACCTATAAAAAATAAAAGAGAAGACCAAAACAATTTTTTTTCATTCTACAGAAAATACCAACCTTATCAGGCTGTATGTTAATAATTTATGGAATAAGTAATATTAAATTAATATACAAGATCATGAAGACAGTGATACAAATATATAAAGATAAAAAATTATTAATCACATACTAGTAAACAGCCAATTATTTTGTCTTTTTTTCCTATTACTGTGTAATTTGTTCATTAGCTACTTTAAAACATATTATGCATACGTGAAAACCCATTGCATTTGCTTGGGTACTAAAGCATAAATCATTCATTTTCCATTAAGCCAACGGATTGATATTTGACATCAAATAAAGTAGTAACCAATACCTAAAGAGAACAACAACAATGATAATATTCAGATAAGCCTTATGCAATTACAGTAATTGGCAGGTAGAATTTACAAGTTTACAGTAGAAAACTGCAGAAAATTCTGAGGAATTACAGGGATGGGACTATGGACACATATGTGCACGCATGTGCAAGTGTGTGTGTGTGTGTGTGTGTGTGTGTGTGTGTGTGTGTGTGTGTGTGTGTGTGTGTGTGTGTGTGTGTGTGTGTGTGTAGTATAATAAGTAGTGTAGTAGTAGAAGAAGAAACGTAAAGTAAATTAACTTACTACGTCTAGAGAAGTAACGTAAACTAAAAACTTAAAGTTAA